TCGTAGCTCTTTTGATACGACAGTCGAGTTTCACGTGTGCGCTGATAGTAGCGCTTCTGCGCAGCCTTAATGCGCTCTTTGTTAGCGAGGTATTGCTGAGGTGAGTACGCCATTTTTTTGTATATTACTAACTTTATATTTATCAGTAATAAAACAAATATTACTTGATTCAATCCTGGAGGTGTGGCGCGCGCTCTGTTGATCTCTCATTCTTTAGTTTCACCGGTAGCTTGACGGATTTCTCTAGATGCTCTTAAGTGCTATCGTTGAGTGGACGATCAGAGATACCTTTCGATGCCCCGAGTATAAACAAGAGAGTGCGTGTAAGAAAATCTCAATTAAAAAAATAGCCAAAGGATTGTCAACTCATATGGAAGAATATTTATTGTCGCATCCTCGTAAATTTTTCCCACACATTCTTCCAATCTCTCCAAGGACGTATGTGATCGCCTGAAGAAGAAAGTCTCATGCTCTGACTTCTCGTCGCCACTGATCAGAACTCCACTCGAGAAATTCGTCACATGCCATACGTCACAGTAAGATCTTCGACATCAGCAAGAGCTTCGAGCCCCGTCACATTCTGAACCATTCCTTGCAGCATATCTTCACGCTTTGCTTGGACAAGTGAAATTCTCTTGGTGCCACGCTTGAGCACGAACTCGAATCGACCTTTCAGGGAGCACGTTCTTCCCAACCACGTCTTCTTCGACTAATATGCGGACGTTCTTAAGCAGACGACTGACTGTCTCAAGGATCGGGGCGATAAAAAACAATCTCTTGGCTTCTTTTTCATCCGACATTTTTCCATAGAGTTCCCGCAAGTCACGAATACGAGCGAGGAGTAGCTCGATGTCAGCATCAGGTATATCGCTTGGTTGAAGGTCATAAGAATCGTCGAAGTTGTAAATAGGTTTGATATCTTCCCAACAAAGACTCGAATAGCCCACAGTCTTGTCGACATCGTGATTTTTCCGCTTTTTGCTTGTTTTCTTGGTGTCTTCACTCGTGGTCTTCTGGTTCGCCTCTTGATTCTTCTGACGAATCATTGCATTGATCGCAGCCCATCGTTTGAGACGTTCGGGGTGCCGGTGTATTGTAGTTGGTGGCAAAGAGGGTGCCACGCCGATTGCCATGGCTGCAGAGCGGTCGTTTTTACCTTTCGGAACCACCACCAGCACGTGAATTTGCTCACTGGATGGAAGCTCCATGTTGTTCTTCGTGTAAAACCACGTTGTTAAGGTCTTTGAGCCCAGAATCGGTTCTCCGGCCGTCAGCGCATGGATGTAGTCATCAGATTCTCCTTCCACCAGCTT